GCCTGCTGAAGTCTTTTCAGGACTCAGCAACTTGACCTGGCTGCAGCTGGGGTGGAACAAGCTCAACGAGTTGCCTGCTGAAGTCTTTTCAGGGCTCAGCAGCTTGCAGAAGCTCAACCTAAGTTTCAACTCGCTCACTCGGTTGCATGCTGAAGTCTTCTCAGGGCTCAGCAAGTTGCAGAAGCTTGACCTGTGGTCGAACTTGCTCAGTGAGTTGCCTGCTGAAGTCTTCTCAGGACTCAGCAGCTTGCAGAAGCTCAACCTGGGGTACAACTACAACTCGCTCACTCGGTTGCATGCTGAAGTCTTCTCAGGGCTCAGCAAGTTGCAGGAGCTTGACCTGAGACACAACTCGCTCAGTGAGTTGCCTGCTGAAGTCTTTGCAGGACTCAGCAACTTGCAGGAGCTTTACTTGTATGGAAACGAGCTCAGTGAGTTGCCTGCTGAAGTCTTCTCAGGTCTCAGCAGCTTGCAGAAGCTCAACCTGGGGTACAACTCGCTCACTCGGTTGCATGCTGAAGTCTTCTCAGGGCTCAGCAAGTTGCAGAAGCTTGACCTGTGGTCGAACTTGCTCAGTGAGTTGCCTGCTGAAGTCTTTTCTGCGCTTGGCAACCTGCAACGGCTTTATCTCTTTGACAACAAGCTGAATGAATTGCCTCCCGACGCCTTTGCCAACCTGTTTGCAGAGCTCAGTAACCTGCGGGTGCTCGACTTGGGACGCAACAATCTCAGTGTGTTGCCTTCTCACGGCTTTGCAGGGCTCAGAAACCTGCAGGTGCTCAACTTGGGCGAGTGCAAGGAGGTGCTCGTGAGTCGTTTTATATGTTCGCTTTACGAATTCGATCTTGCGGCAGTTTTAAATAACACATTGCCAATGTTCAGCAAGTTAAACCAGATCAGCAAGTTAAACCAGATCAGCAAGTTGCCCGCTGAGTTCTTTTCTGGGCTTGGCAACCTGCAGAAGGTTTACCTTGATTCAAACAAACTGGCCCAATTGCCTGCGAACATCTTTTCAAGCCTCAGCAGCTTGCAGATTCTCGACCTGAGTAGTAACGATCTCACTCACTTGCGTGCTGAAGCCTTCGCAGGGCTCAGCAACTTGCAGAAGCTCGACCTGCGATCCAACAAACTCAGCGAGTTGCCTGCTGAAGTTTGGGATGATATTTTTTCAGGACTCGACAACTTGCAGAAGTTGTACTTGAACGGAAACGATCTCAGCGAGTGGCCCGCAATTTGTTCAAGTATCGTCTGCTGATGAATCCCTGAGATATCCGGCTTAGATCGGCTTAGCGGATGTCCTTTCTGTTCGAAAATGGGTCGAGCTGCGGGGATCAGGTTCTAGTCGTGCTCTTTCCACCAGGCTGCATGGGTTTCTGGTGACCACTCTGAGGTCCCGGAGCCGGTCTACAAGCACCAAGGCCGAGGCCGGGAGCACTTGAAGTATGTTCAAAGTCAGCAAAGGCATCAGGCTTTATGGTTTTATCATGTTTTATCATGATTGCTGTGGGATGAGATGGGGTGTCTCGCTGTTTTATTTGGGCTGGCAACTACCTGAAAACTCCTTTGGACTCTTTGTAAGGTTCAATCTATAGCCCTCCGGCAAGAAAACCATGAGGTCTGTCGGGAGCGGAACAGAAATTGTTTGTTTTGAACCTGAAAGGAAGCTGCTGAGAGAGGTGTAACAAAGTTTCCATCTGGCCACAAAACAAGTCCCGACTCAACACCTTCCAGGCTATTTCAGGTTTTTTCTAAAGATGAAAGGCGTGCCCTGTCACTGACTGATTCTAGTTCTCCGTGGCAAGACACGGTGCTCAGGCCACGACAGTCAGCGACCAGGCGCCGGAAAAGACTTTGGGCGCTGGGCGTCGCAATTTTCTGATGATTTTTTCGCGGTTCACACATTGAAACAACACCACTTGAATCCAGAACATCAGAACTGAAATGAAATACGACCAAGTGTTCGTGGCTTGGTGGGCGCACTTGCAGCACGGTGGCATAGTGGCCGTCACAATATCATCATCATGCGGTTTTATAAAGACCATGGGCCGCCCAGTGCTACATGACATATGATCCACATCTTCGGCAACCAACCGGAAAAATTGTGAAAATCGAATCTTTTCCTTTGGATCGTTTAGTAGAGAAGGGCCGTATATTAGCCGTGAGTTTGGGTGGGCCTATAGCTTTGCACTATAAAAGCCCCCCAGGTGATCATAGCACGGAATGCGAATACTTGGGGCTCCGATATTTTGATCATTGGCTGCGCACCCAAGAATCAATGCTCGGGGATACTGCCTTCCATATCAATTGATATCATATCAATCATTGATATTCATAAATCAATGATAAATATAAATAAAATTTAATAAACATCATATTGTCTGGTTGAACTCACCCTGATTATGTGCAGTCCTTCTTGGAATCGCCCTGGGTTGCGCAGTTTGTGGGCGCCTGGGTACCTGGTTTTTCTCTGCAGGTCACGTCACCTAGCTGCGGGTTCTCCACGTGGGGAGACGATGCCAGGCCTGAGAGACGATGCGCGAGAGTCGTAATGAGGACATGACCAGGGGGTGAGCTGACACGAGTTGACAGAGTTGAATTTTATATCATCATGGATCATCGTGAATCGTCATGAATCATCATGAATCATGAAAACAGTGAGATTGTTATGGATTGTGGCTTTTCAGTGGCAGCATATGTTGGAAACATCTAGAAGATTCAGTGATCTTTCCATATCATTTTATCCTAGGGCATATACGATATGCTCGAATGAGCGAAGCGAGACAAAACGCTTTGTACTTTCCGTTGAATATCGAAATTATCCAAGTTGTAGGGATCTCTCAAATTTGTCAAAAACATGCCGGAAATTTCAGCTCCACGTCCTCCGATGGATTTCACGCGTTTTTTTCCTGGATGAAAAACACATCCCAAGCGGGTTCGGAAACGAGGCGAACCGCGGGGCTGCCAAGTTGGACAGCGAGGCAGGACGTGGAGCTGGAGCCGATAGAAATACTGGTGTCAAGGGAGAAGTTTCCGCGGAGCTTTCGGATTTCCGTTGTGTTTTTTTTTTCCGGTTGAGATTCTTGTTATTTTTTTTAATTTGAGGCCTTCAAATATGTTGAGCAAACGTAATTGGAATCTGTTTTGTCTCAGAAAAGTGGAGTTGGGTCCAGTGGGTCCACCTAGTGCCTGAAATGAGGGTCCTAGCAGGTGGCACTTCCAACCCATCTACCCTTCTGTAGTGCAACCTTTGCAGTTGACGTTCCTGTAGGGTTTTCATTGCCAGGTTTGCTTGGAGGGCAAAGAAGTTCAAAGTTCACTGTTTACCTTTTCACAGTTTGGTTTGAGTCGTGACACCACTTGTCCGCTGGCCTTCACGTGGCGTCTCAACCTTGTCCGATAACCCTCCGCGCCAACTCTGTTGTCCTAAGGAGAAATTCTCAATTGTTTCCTCCCTTTAAGATCCTTTTGGGTTCGGCAAAACGAAGTCATCTTGGTGCAGAGTTCAGAGTCTTCGAGCTGGGTGATTTTCAAAATTTTCAGTGCAGCTTTGACAGCTGCAGGACTTCCCCGTCCTGGAAGAGCGCGGAAACCAAGCTTTGCATCATCATTGGTCATCAATGGTCATCATCTAAATGTATCGTACTATACTTGAGCCTAGCTTGATTTGAAGGAATTCCAAGAAATGGTTGTCGTTGTTTTCCTTGACCGTGTTGACGATGTGAACCATGTTGACTGGTTGTCTTGGACGTGTTGTGTTGTCTTGGCCATTTTGATTCCATTTTGTATCTTGCTGTTTTTTCTCAAGACGGACGTATACCGCATTTGCAGTGTGTAGTGCTATTCAACATGAAAGCTTGGCCTGTGAAGCACAAGAGAAACACAGCCAAATCTCATGCACAAAAGAAAGGCCTTGACAAACCATGACAAACCTGGGGAATTTGATTCGTGCTGGACAGCGCAAAGGATTCGCTGCCTCATGTCGGTCTCTGTGGACGTTCCTGGACATGGTCACTTTAATATCAAACTGACTGCGACGAGCACCGCTGCTGACATTATTTTATTGCTACGTGAGCGTTTGCCAGACAGTCCATGGCATGGGAACAAGGTGCTTTCAAGTGGGGTCTGCCAGCTGCAGTGCGATGACGTTGTGGAGGCAACCCACGACAGCACCTTGGTCTTGGCAAACTACTCAGAGATCACCAACCAGGAGACAAACCTGCATCGTTGTTTCTTTTTTTGGCAAAAAGGCGCAAGACAGATTGTACTGTACAACAAAACATCCCAAGTCCTCAGTAGCCTTAGAAACAAACCAGCAACGAATACCAACAAGCGCTGTGGTTGATCGATTCAGTTTCATTGTTTCGGAATTCAGTGGTTTGAACGCATTTTGAACTGGTGGCTTGTGGGATCTACTTGCTGCATTTTGATGCTGCATAGTGGGGGAAGGGTCGGTCACTGCGATCATGCGCCTTGGTGCATGGAGACCAATTTTTTGTCCCCGCTTCAGCTGCGTCTCCTTGAGACCATGTGAAACAAAGGCAATGTAACCAACGGGATGTATTTAAAAGTCAATCTTTTGAATTTCAGAGATTGGCCCATGATTCCACCTTTTGAGGGTACTGCATAATGCTTTTTGAATTCCTTTCCAATTTCATTTGCTGCATTTGTTGGTCGCTCCCCGTCGAAGGAGGCTTTCCGAATTGAAGATACTGCAGAGCGAGGGATCACTCGCGAGCAATTGGCAAAGATCGTTGTTTTCATCTCCAAGATGGCTGACAGATGGTGCGAGACTTTCGGAGAACAGCGTGGGACAAGGCTGCAGTTTGAGACCTTCAACTTGTATCATGCGAATCATTGGATCATCAAACCAGCCACCGAAGCCTTGATTTGTTGATGATGTGACAACATTTTCCAATTTGAAGAATCTACCGTTTTTCTTTTTCTTTTGATGGCAACATTATGCAGAATCCCAGGACGGCTATGCGAAAAAGGGCTGCAGCATGGTTGAGATCATGGCGATTCAAGTGCAGAGACCTCAGTGGTTTGTGTCACATGCTTGGAGCGAGCCTTGGCTGATAGGTAACTTTCAAGGTTGTTCGAGACCGTGCTATTGCGTTTCTTTCAACAACAAGTAATTCATTCTTCTTTCCACCAATAATACAACCTCCGCTTGAAATCCTTGCTTAGTATTGGACCTGTTCACTTTTGTGCCCCAGATGAGGTGATTTATGAAAATGAAGCGTAACAACACAGGAACTTCAGGAAACGTCAATCTTTTCGTTTGAAACATGCCTAAAATATTGTTGAACAGATCCGCGAGGAACCAGTGTGCAAGTTTCTGGCCTGCTTGGAGCAGCATGCTCTGGTGCGAGAATTGTCAAGCAGTACGTTCTATTGGGTCTGTGCTTATGCCAACAACCAACACTCTGTGGATGAAGACATCAAAATAAACCCGCGCAGCACATCTTTCTACAGGGCCATGCAGATGTCTGAGGGAGTTCTCTTGGTGCTGGATTCGGCTGGAAGGCCTTTCGAAAGGATTTGGTGCTGCTTCGAGGAGGCCATTGTTGCAGCCTTAGATCCAGGAAGTGCATGAAAGCATCATAGAGATGTTTACAATTGTAAACGAATGTGACATGATGAGCCTAGGGTGACACTTCCCGCGATTTCCGAATAGTTTCAGTAACATGATAGCAACCTCGAACCACTCCGCCATAAATTCATCACAACTTTCTTTTGAAGAGGTGCGTGTCAGTGTGTGTATCAAGAGATGGACATGTTTGGATTTGACCAAATAGCTTGCTTCAATTTTAAACACGACATGCGATGAAACGGCTCGATCAATTTTTGCATATACGAATTGCAGAAAACAAACTGCAGCAACACCAGGTTTGGCTCGTAAAGGCAGACAATTCTTCAGTAGATATCATATTATACTATATTATATCGGATCGAAGCAGGCGCTGGTGTAAGCAATTCCGGGATTCGCAGCTTGAAGCAACCGAGGCGATTGAACACCGAGAGGGCAACTGGTCCAGGCGACGTTTGCTGCTTGATGTGGGCGCCACTGACACACATGACAAAGCTACTGGGTACAGCAATGGCCACCTTGGACATTTCCTTTGCCTGATTTGCTAGAAAGGTTGAGACCATCATCTTACCAACCATTTCTGCACTCTTTTGAATCTTTCTCCTTTCACATCACCTCCCTTTCACACCTTTTTTTTTAACGTTGTTTTGCATCTGTGCAGAGCCGTGACAAACCTGTTTTGACCCGTGTTAAACTTGTTGATCTCTGACTCTGAGGCTCATGTACTTACTGATGGACTTGCCGGAGCTGAAAGTCGAATGATTGGCATCATTGGCTTGCACCACAAAGCAGCTCGCGAGCGTCACTTTCCTCTGGACCTTTTGGAAAAGGGCTTGAAGGTCAAAATCGAAGAAACTTGGTGGATTGCTTGTAGAGCCTTGTTGTGATGTTGCTTGTTGTTGCCATTTAAAGTAATTATTTATATACATATTTTTTTTCCGTTGGATCATTGATGGAATGGACAAGGTGCATGTTCCATTGTTCGATTTCATTTCTTTTTTGCATGGAACAGGGTATGTACCGACATTAATACAGTAATCATGTATACATTGGCTGATTCTAAGTTCTCTCTTGATCCAGAAAGTGAGCCACGATAAAAGTGAACGCTGGACAGCTCAAGGATGCTCATGTCACCGAGAATATTGACAAAGTTCGGATTCTGAACAGCATTGCTCTTTCTCGTCTTGAAACTTGCGACTTTGAGCATTTGCAGTCGTACCCCACTGGGGATCCCAATTTCCAGCGAGTAGATGAAGCTCTTCATTCGCATTTTGCTTTAGCCAGCTGGTACGGATTTGTCCTTCAAGGAAGATGCACTGAACTCCTGGCCACAGCTATAAAGGCAGACGTTGGTAGAAAGATAGTGCAGCTTTCACTGACTGGGTGCCAGAATTTCTTTGACCATGAGCTTGATGTGCTGATCCAAAGCCTTCCTTCAGAGTTGCGCGTTTTGCGATTGGATCTGGGCTTCTCGGGCCTTGAGACTCTGGACATGTTTACATCTTCGGTGCAGTGTTTGAAGTCTTTGGTCCAGTTGAAGTTGCGCTTCACAGGTTCCGCACACTTCAGGACTGCGGCAGGGCTTGGAGTTGCCATGAGAGAAATGGAGAACATCATGTACTTGGAGCTATGGTGCGCTGAGTTGTGAATTTCCAGTCGCATTTTTCTTTATGTTGAACCAGAAGCATGATGTTCATCCTTTGTGTCAATTGTTTGGCAATTTTCCAGCATTGTGCCCCAATCTTTTTTGTGTTTTTCATGTTTTTTCATAAATGATCTTGTTTTCTTTTCGCGTTTTTTTCGTGGAAAAGATCGTGTTTTCGTTATATCCTCCAGCTGCTGTGGTCATCTCGCTGCAGGTTCATGAACTTGCCGTGTTTGGAAGACTTCGGATGCTTCAGTTCAGCCTTGCGGTCTTCGCGAAACCTGGAGAGTTTGGTCATAAATCTCAGTGGATGTGGCCAGATGTCACTAGAAGCCAGGATGGAACTCCACCAATCCATCAAGTCACTGAAATGGTTGCGAGGTGGCTTGGACACTTGGGTGAACATTGAAGGTTTGCCAAAGCGAGACTGGTTCTCTCGATTTGCTCATGTTGATTTTGGCGGTGTTATCAAAGCGCGTTGCACCCGGGGCTTCCGTTTCATCTGGCAACGGATGCGACAACTCAGTGCCCGCCAGCTGCCACATGTCAGCTCAGTGTACTTTGAGCCAACCAGGTTTGGCAGGTCCAGCGCCACAAGCAGTGATGAATCAGCTGGAGAAGATGCGGAGACAGAGCCTCACAGCACTCAACAGGAGATGTTGAATGCAAACAAACCGTTCCCGTGCAGCCATCCTTCATGCCATTCTTTTCACTCTTCTGAGAGCGGTTATTGCGAAAGGCACCGCTGGTCAGGCCTTTTCAAGAGGATTTGTGTTGCGGCAAATGCTTGGCGCCAGAATGTGGAGCTTAGTGTACTGATTCTTGCACAAGCAGTGGCAGAGGTAGAGAGCCGATTTCTGTTGGTTCTGCTGGTTCTCAGCCTGTTGCCCGTTGCAAGTTATAGCTTTTCTGAGTCGACAGGAGTTTCTGGCACGCTTATTTTTTTGATTGGTATCTCAACTGCGATTGTCAGCATTTTTTACACCACAGCTCGGCTCAACCAAATGCAAGCACTCTCAAAGAAGCTTGAGGTTGAAGCAGAAGCTTTGTATGCAAAGCATTTGCAGAATGACATGTCCAGGCTTTTCGGTGATTGGGGTAGAGACGATATTGCCCAGCCTCACTTTAGAAGCCTGACGGAACACTTTGTCGAAGCCAGGAAACATCTTGACGACTTCGACAAGAATCTGTGCCTCCCACTGCGGGAGTTCTTGGAGGAGCATCCTGGTTCCATATCACGGCAAGATTTGCGACCTGTGTTGATGACACTGTCAATGGCACAAGAGGCTGTCGTGCGAGAAGGTGAACCCAGCCGAATCTTAGATCTCTTGTATTGCGATGTACTCTTTGATGATTGGGAGAAAATGCTCAATGGTTGGTGCTTTCTGAAAACCAGAGCAGAATATGATGAGTTGAGAGAAATCGAGTTTGTGCGTACCCGCGATTCTTTTGCTTCAGCCCAAGCTGGTGTCAGATGTGCCGAGATGGTGGTCAAGATCGACCACTATTTAGCGACGATCCGTTTCCGTGAAACTTCTTTGACAAAGCTGGAAAGTCAAGTGGATGGTGTGCACCATTTGGCAGAACAGGTGGGACTTGTGGCGGGCAGTTTGCAGGTAGATCCTTTGCTTATGTCTGGGCGACCAGCACAGCAATCACGATTGGTAGTCGCTGTTGTTGCTTTGCTTCGGATCAGCTCATTGCTTGCAGCAACGTACCTTGGGGGGCAATACTTTGTGCGGTACAGTCCACCTTTCATCCGTTCCAAGCTTCCAAAACTGATTCGAGATGCATTTGCGCTCAAGCAAACAGTTGAGCCCAGTGATGGGAGATTGTCGGAGGTTACCACTTCTGATGCTGGATGGTTGTGGGAGAGCCTTTTGCCGCTGTTGCCTTCCATTGTTTTCTCTTTGCCATACCTGGCCTTGATCATTGTCCTCCTGAGCGACTTGCGCCGGTGTCGGTCAGCCAATATCAAGTTGAGACCGCTGAAACCCACCCAGTTCCTCTACGAGGAGTATTTTGGCATTGAAGGCAAGCTCTACGGCCTCAAGGTTGCAATGCTGCAGTTATTCACGGTGATGCTACAGGCCTTTGGAAAGCTCCAAATTATGGGTGGCCTGGTGTCCTTTGCATTCCATTCAGCTCCGAAGCATTCAGATGCATTCGAACGATGTTTTTGGACTTTTGTGGGTTTCCTATGTCTGAACAGCATCTATCCAAGCGTTTTGTTGGCCGTCCCCTCGGTGAAGTGGGTGCGCCGGGCCGCTGCGATGATAGATGCGGTTCTTGATATTGCTTACACTACCACATACCTCATCATCACCTTGCTGGCCATCTATGAGCTACAGTTGGACGAAGTCATTTCAGGAAATTTTGGGGATGAGGCTTCGGTGAACTTCCAAGCAGAGTTGGACCCGGCATTTGCATTCCCAGCCGACTTTTTTGGTTTCTTTGCTGTCTACTATTCACTTGCACATGTTTGCACTGTTTGCCGTGCCTTAGAGCGGAGCGATCGATCGACCTACTGGAAGAAGTTGCAAGGCTTACCGAACTCTGCTTCCCAGTCACTGCTGAGCCCATCGAGATTTTCTTGCTCAAAGAGATATCGGATTTGTCCCAAAGCCTTGCATTTCTGCTGCATTGGTTTCGTTTTATGTGGTTTCTGCAATTTTCAATCCATCGTGGTTTTGCAACCTGTTGACACAATTTGTCATGTGAGTATCTCGAAGCCCCGCAACATATTTGTACAGAGGAGGCGTCTTGGTGTTCTCAGCTTTACTGTACTTGCTGCACCCTTTTGTTCGTCCTCAAGCATACTAATACACAATCTGATACACCACTTCTTATATTGTTGTTCCCCAGCAGCATCAACAGCCAAGGGGGTTCCACAGGCTTTTGAAAGGTTTTTCAGCACGTTTCAGGGTTCCTGCTTCTTAGGAGTTTCACAGGTGCAGGATTCCGAGGTGCATTCCAAGTATTTCAGGGTTTCCCAGGTTCTAGGATTCCACAGTTGCAAGGTGCCGTCGGATGGCATAGTTGCAGGAGTCACACCACAGGCATTTGCGAAGTAAAAAAATGGATACCTATGATACCTATGTCTTCAATATATTTCAATATCAATCCCCTTGAGATGGGGTTTCTGTTTCATCATGGCGTGAGTTTGTGTGCCGGAATGCCCCCCCTATCATACCATCGGGCTTTGATGGATGAACTCGAGTTCTTTGTTTCTCCTTGCAAGCACTGCTTAGGTATTCGCCCTGTTTGCTGGTCACGATCATTGCTCTATTGCTTGCAACGCACTTCTACCCGATTCACAAGGATGATTTCGGATGCTTTCCGTGCCGTTGTGGCCCAAAGAAAGATGATACAAAGCACCTTGCGAGTTGCAGCCTTGCAGGGATTCTTCGCCTCAAAGATGTGAGTTTGAGCCAGCAAAACATTACAAGTGTTGCAGAGGACGCCTTCACCTGCTCAAGGGGCTTGCAACGGTTATCACTCTCTGGCAATTTGTTGTTTCTTTTGCCTAAGAAGCTGTTCGCTCCTTTGGACAATCTGCAACTCTTGGACCTGGGCCGCTTGGGTTTGCAGCACATAGAGTCTGACACCTTTGCTGGGTTGTCAAGTTTGAGAATCTTGTCCCTCAGCCAAAATAGTTTGGCCGTGTTGCCAAAAAACTTGCTGCGCCCCATGCCAGCGCTGGAGCAATTGTTGCTGGGGGGTAAATCTGATGAGAAGGGCAACCGGATCGTTGATGGAAACGAGCTGAGCGTGCTGTCTCAAGAGCTTTTGCAGCACAGCCCGCGGCTACAAGTTCTCGATCTGAGCGAAAACAGGTTGAGCTCGCTGCCAAATGGCATTTTTGATACAACTCGCTTGCTGCGGACGCTCGACCTTGGCTCAAACCAACTTACCGAGCTGCCAGGCGAAATCTTTTCAGGTCTCAGCAAACTGCAGGAGCTCGTCCTGCGTTCGAACGAACTCAGTGTGTTGCCTGCTGGACTCTTTTCAGGGCTCAACAACTTGCAGAAGCTGAACCCGGAGTACAACTCGCTCACTCGGTTGCATGCTGGAGTCTTCGCAGGGCTCAACAACTTGCAGAAGCTTGACCTGGGGTGGAACAAGCTCAACGAGTTGCCTGCTGAAGTCTTTTCAGGACTCAGCAACTTGCAGGAGCTCGACCTGAGGTCCAACAAACTCAGCGAGTTGCCTGCTGAAGTCTCCTCAGGGCTCAGCAGCTTGCAGAAGCTGTACTTGAGCGAAAACGATCTCAGCGAGTTGCCTGCTAATGTCTTTTCAGGGCTCAGCAGCTTGCAAGAGCTTTACTTGTATCAAAACGAGCTCAGTGTGCTGCCTGCTGAAGTCTTTTCTGAGCTTGGCAACCTGCAACAGCTTCATCTCTATTGGAACAAGCTGAATGAATTGCCTCCTGAAGCCTTTGCCAAGCTGTTTGCAGAGCTCAGTAACCTGCAGGTGCTCGACTTGGGATTCAACAATCTCAGTGTGTTGCCTTCTCACGGCTTTGCAGGGCTCAGAAACCTGCAGGTGCTCAACTTGGGCGAGCGCGAGGAGCTCACCTCGGATCCTTTGCTTGTTAAATTAGTTTTAAGTGACACTTTGAAGTCTCGGACAAACCAGATCAGCAAGTTGCCCGCTGAGTTCTTTTCCGGGCTTGACAACCTGCAGAAGGTTTACCTTGATTCAAACAATCTGACCCAATTGCCTGCGAACATCTTTTCAAGCCTCAGCAGCTTGCAGATTCTCGACCTGAGTAGTAACGATCTCACTCACTTGCATGCTGAAGCCTTTTCAGGGCTCAACAACTTGCAGACTCTCAAACTGGGGTCCAACAAACTTAGTGAGTTGCCTGCTGCAGTCTATTCAGGGCTCAGCAGCTTGCAAGAGCTTTACTTGTATCAAAACGAGCTCAGTGAGTTGCCTGCTGAAGTCTTCTCAGGGCTCAGCAGCTTGCAGAAGCTTGACTTGTATCAAAACGAGCTCAG